CATGTTTCCAAGCAATGCAGTTCTTGCTTTTTGTGACTGATGTGGAGGGAGGATTGCATTATTTGCTGTATCTCAATTGATGTGCAGACTGATGTCACAAGCTGTAGTTGCTGCTTTCTTCCATTCACTTGCAAACACTGCTAGACAAAGAGTGACAGCTTGCTGTAATCACCCTGCACTATCTCCCATGCATAGGGATGACGGAAATTACTTTATCAGTGGTTTATGATATGTGTTCTGGTTAGTTTGGTAATTGGAAGACAACAAATTATCATGTAAACAAAGTACTGCTTAGCGAAGTGTTTTTCTGTTGAGAACACAAAGCCATACACCGTATCATTGTACCTAGTGCTCCACTGGCTAGTCATGGAGCATCTTGAAAACTCAGGAGTTAATTGCTGGGAAATCAAGATTTATCAAACCAGAAATAGTAAAGGAAGATTCTAACTTTATATGCTGGTGGTGAGAAGTGAGTAGCTTCTTGCAGTAAAGAAGAAATGTGTTTGAAACACCCAGTAAGAGTCCCAGATCAATGGGGCAGCACAGCCAGGCCTTGTTTTCTGTATTCCGTTACTCTTCCTTTTTCCTGTGTCTTTTTCTATGAAGGAGAGACCCCAGCCTCACAGTCTGCTCTCCTTTGGATGTTGGGAATTTGGATTTGATCCCCTCAGGCAGAGGATGGAACCAAATCGGGGATTTCATATCTGGGACAGGGATCCACTGCACGACAAGGGGCGAGCTTTAAGAAAAGTAGGACTCCGCAGTTTAGGTACATTGAGGCTGGGCATCATCTGGTTGCTGTTATGGACTGAGACTGAGCTCTAGTTTCCACTTAAGTCCCACTCTAGGTGCTGAGATCTTTCTTGAATTCAGTTGCAAGAGTTGATTTGTTTTTAAACATCTATTTTTTTCAGTGAGTTGCCCTTCCCAAGCCAGCCAGGCTGAATGCCAGATTCCACATGAAATTTGAAAGAATCATTGAGCTTTAGTTTGAGGGAGCTGAGCCCTGAAAAATCAGCTCTGAATTTCCTTAAAATAATGTGCTCTTTTTTCCTCTTTAAGTCTAGACCTGCAGGTATAAGTTCATGTATTATACCATGAAACGGAGATTTGTTGCGTGATGGTCATTTCTAATCAGATCTTTAAAAGCATTATTCTGTGGAAAATGTTTCATCCTGAAAAAAAATCCCCCCCAAAAACCCCAACCCCAAACCTGTAATTGGGAAGTAAATCCCAAACATTCTGAAGTTATTATTTCCACCCTCTGAAGAATCTCATCAGAATCTCTGGCAATAAAAGATACGAACAGCTCAGCCTCCTGCTGCTGAGGAGTGTAGTGGTATCTGCCTTTCAGTGAGAGGAAGGAAAACCTTAGCAGTAAAGTGGTTGCACAGCCTGTCCAGGGGTGATCTGCTCAAAGACTTACAGTGGTTTAAAAATCCTAAAGAATCCCTTTGTCATATTAGTATGATCTGAAGGTATCTGGACTCCACCTGATCCCTCCGCTGACACTATCTGTTTTGATGTGGGGGCCAGAACTCAAAGTATGTTTATAAGATCTGATTTCCCATAGCTAAATGGAGTAAATATGAATTAATGCCATTGTGTGATTACTAATTCTAAGCTGGTGATGGTTTCTTGGGAAGGTACACCTAGTAATCATCCCCATTTTGACATTTCAATGCCTGCACCAACAGAAGGTGCCTGTCAATATTCATAGCTAAGAAGTCCATTGCTCAGTTCATTCAAAGCTGTTCGAGTGTGCAGCCTGACATCTTTGCAGATACGTAGGGTTAGGGATTTCACATCCTTATGGCCCGTTATCCCATTAAACAAAGATACAGGGAAATTTTCTTGTTATTGCTAATGTGCTGTAGACAGGTTAGAGTTTGTCCCTGAAGTGCACAACTGAGAAATCACATATTAAACATGATTAATGTCATTGCACACTTAAGTTCTTTCAGAATATCAAGTTAATTTGTGTTGATGTTGCCATACCCCCTCAATGTACGAGTGTTAGTTTTGAGTATTCCCAAAACAGTCATATTTCAGAAATGTAATGAATCAATAAATGTCTGGTTTATAAAACCCTTCATCTTGTGATGGGTAGCAAAAGGTGTTTTAAGTGTCACTCCCAAGCTGGCATGCAGTGAGCATACTCTCCTCTGATCTAGTGAGATAAACCCATATGAGGGTTGGATGCTTCAAAATCCAAGAAGCTTAATTGTACTTTGCACCTGGATGTCAGCAAGGAGAGTATGTCTTTGTTCCATGCTTTCTCACCTACCTCTGCTTCCCTCTGCCAAAGCTCTTGACCCTGTTTCTGCTTCTATCTCTGGGGATCCCAAAGATGTAATTGCAAAGACTTTGGGGACGACAATGCTGCCTCATGATAGCAGCATGGATTCAGATGTTGTGCCTCTACTCAAGTGGTTCCTAATACCTTATCTTTTAATACAGGTAGATACACACAGTTGCTTTGTGGAAGCTCTGTCATGTTTAACTGGCACAAACACTTTTTCTGGACACTTTGGGTGTTGTTTGTGGGTTTTTTTTTTTTTCATTTTTCACAGCTGCCCTCTGTGCCTCTCAGAGAGTTTTCCTGTTTGCAGAAGAGTTTTGTGATACAATTGAAGGCTATCAGAAGGATTCAGGTATCTTATGTATTGAAAGTAAATGTGTAACCCAGATGATTTACCTTCAATGCCTGAGAACACTATGAAATGTTCCTGGCTGCCCCAGTTTATCTGAGCACATGTTCCTTGTAGTGATTTATTGGAAGATGTTAATGCATGCCTTGCTTCAGAGGCTCTCTTAATGTGAAAAATCTTTGCTTTGATACAAGTCCAAATGCCGCTCATTCTGTACGAGTATACTCGACCACAGAGGCTAACAAGGCATCAACTGCAGCCAGACAACTGTGAAAGAATATTCCTGTTGAAGGCAGATGGAAAACACTGGTGTGCAGAAAGGCTGAGTGGTTTTGGAAGTACTCTCCAAGCACCAAGCAGTATGTGCTCTCTTTTTTAATAAACTCTTGCAATACTTAACAATCATAGCATCAGTTTAGCATTATCACATTTGAGGGACAATTGCTTAGACCTTTGCCAGTGTTGACAGTGCCATTAAGGTGGTGGAGAAGGTGAAAGCAGTCAAGAAATTACACACAGTATGAGGCAGAGGTCTGAAATGAGCTTTCAAAAACCCCTTAATTTTGGCCTGTTTCTAGCAAGGGAAGAGTCAGAACTGACAAAGTGGCTTTCTTTTACCAAAGGACTGAATATGAAACTGTGTCACATTGTCCCAGTGGTGTAATTGAGGAGCTAGCATTGGCCACTCTGAGAATTTCACCCCAAGATGTGAGAGGAAGAATCTTAGCGGAACTACCCTTGGTTGTGGCAACATCCAGTGTGGCCAAAGGAAACTCTTTGAGGAGGGTTTGCAGAACTGACAATTTCCACAGAAAATTGAAGGCTGCTGCAATGATTCCTGCCAGACAGAGAAATTCCTGCCAGATCCTATTTGTATATACTTGTAAATACAAATCTATTGGGTTGGGCATCTTCCTTCCCTGTCATTCAATGTGCCTCCTTCAGTGATTGTTTTAAAATCTGCTTTAAGGTAGGAGCAACCACCACTTGCTGTGAAGTAAAGCAGACTTGGAGCTGTACCTTACCAGCTACCCCACATGAAATGCCCATGAAGACCTCCTGGGGGACATACAGACTGAAAACCAAACTCAAATGTTTTGTCTTTCTCTTGCCTAATACTGGCAATCAGAGCGTGCTCTTCAGAACTGGAGAGGTGGCTTTCAGGGAAGAATGATCCCAAGGCTTCTCTTCTGCTGGACAAGCAGTCCCACCATTAATCTGTAACCTTGGAAACATGCACAGTACTTAGGAGGCTAGTCCTACCAAAGGCTAAAGTCCTCTTTAGAGGACTTCTGCTTGAACCAAGAGAGGATATGCTGCTTGGGCCAGGCCAGTGCTGCTTCTGTGCAAGTCCACACCTGGAAGCAGAACTTAAAAACGGCAAAGAGAGTTCAGATGGCAATTGAGAACAGCATTACACTGATCACCATTCAGATGTAGACACCTCAGTCCACAACCCGCTGGAGGTATGTGAGCTTAGGTGCTATTTCTAGTAAAGTATTAATGTAAGTGCATACAGATCATAATGGTATTTAAAACATGCTCTAATGAAATGAGGTTTCTGTAGAGTAACTTGCCCAAGACTGACACCTACTGAGGCACACGCAGCACTGGCTAGCATTTTTTGCATCATCAGTATCTCATTACATGACCATAGCAGCTTAATGCTAATGGGCTCAGGGATCCCTGTAAAACTAAAGGCTCTGTCTACAAATACACCAGCCCAGTGGAAAGGTGGTGAGAGGCACAATTCCTGGGGACACAGGGCTATTAGCTCATTTTCCCTGGGGGACTGGTATCTACTCTAGTTTTGCTTCAACATATGATGAAGTCCTTCTTCCCCAGAGACAGCTGACATCGGATTTTGCATGAGCATCAGTCACTTCACAGCAAACTAAAACAGGCACAAAATGCAGAAAGTAACAGCCCAGTTAACCCTCACTGAAATAGTTTTGAAAGCAGCAAGGCAGTGAGGTTTCCCCTTTTCTTGTTCCACAGTCAGTGAATGTTTAGACAGAATGAACCAGAGGAGGAAATACAATCTGCTAAAAGTTGTTGCTGGGTTTGAGACCTGGCAAGACTGAATCCACAATAATGTAATGTTACTACAATCCCCTAAGGAAGGTCAGTGAGGAGAGGATAAATGCTTCTGCTCAGATAACACAGGAAATAGGGAGACCTGGAGGTTTTCAAGAGACAGGATGCTTCAAACCCGTTCCTCATTATTTGTATGCTGTTTGCTAAGGCTGTAGCAACAGCTTTCTTTTTAAAGGAACAGTTATCAACTACCTTTGGAAGCTGTTCAAGTCAGGTAAGATTAATAAATAAAACACCTAGAACAACCCTAAAAACCTTCAGACCATGATTTTATTTTTTTGTCAATAACAGACATTTGTCAGCCAGATGTACAAAAAACCCCACCAAATCCAAAACACATTTATGAGATCCCGTAACTGCAAGACAGGATGGGCTGCTAATTGAGAATGTGATGTCCTGCACAAAAGGCTTAGGAAGGAAGTGTTCCATGGAAGGGGACGCTGTACCTACTGAATTAAAACACAGCATTTATCCATAAAAGAAAAGAAAAAATAGTAATTATCCCCTTTAGTTCGGTACATTCTTGTTTCTGCTGTGAGGTCTACGGCTTTACTGAAAGGACACCTCACAGACATGAACAGAAACAATCAGCGTTCCCTGGTTTCATTAGCTGCTTCTTTGGCCCTACCTCTTCCAGACAATCTTATCCCCATGCTACAGCTACAACAGTGTTACCCGCAGAGCCAGCATTTCTCAAATACTGCCTTGGAAGAGAGTACAGCTGGCTTCGGTTACCAGCTCGGTACTGTGTGGCAGGCAGCCCCATGTGAGGAATGTCACACAGTGAAAGCAAAGACCTTCCCAGAGGCACCAACCGCTACTGAAGGAGAAGAAAAGAGAAGACCACTGTTTACTTCCCTGATCCTATGACCAGGAACTGTTCAGTCAACATTTAGTTAGTGTAAGACCAGCAGACAGGACTGCAATGTCTTACTTTCCTTTCTAAAGGAGACACTCCAATGGCTGATGCAGTGCATGGTTATTATGCGGTTTCTTAAGCCTAAGGCCTTTAAACTTTCATGAAAAACATTTGCTATCTAAATGCATTTTATTTGTAACAGAGTAGTTAGAATGATATGGGTATCCCTAATTAACATTCCCATTTGCCCTTGCAGCCACAAGAAGTCATTTCATTTTGCTTCATCTGACACTGATCAGAGGCCAGGATATTTTACTTCGAGGTTTGTGAAAATCTGATTTTTACAAAACCAGATGTTTCTGAGTAAAGAAACATCTCTGCTAAAATGAGTAAAAGGCCCAATGAGAAAAACATTTCAAATCTGGTTCAGCATAAAAACTGTGTGGCTAACTGAATGAGGAAAACTAGATCTTTTATGCCAAGTAGAGCAGCTGGTGTTAAAATTCCTCCTCAGCTTGTCTGGAGCGAGAACTTTTCAGATCCAGCAGTCTCTCCACAGTGTCTGCAATTGTACGCTCACCATGCACCTTGTTATCTCGGGTGCGGATGTTAACTGTTCCACTTGCCTTCTCCTTTTCACCAACAACTAGAAACAATACAGATGCAAAGGAATTAATTTAACATTTAGCAAGCTCTTTTTTTTTCCCCTATTCCGTTAAATCTTAGGTGTACTAAACAAAAATTCTAAAAAGCTTACCAACTAACACATCAATTCCTTCTCTGCCCTCCTCCCAGCTGCCCCAGCTTAGATCTCTAACAGCCAACAGCCTTAATTTTAGTCTTGTATAATTTAATAGGTTTTAGCATGTTATGAACAGCACCTTAGCAAAATATGGGTAAAGATAAATTTTGAAAGGTCAGCTTGATTTACGTATTATTAGAGACAAAGTCAAAATGAGAAATAAACACAGAATCATACAATCAACCAGGCTGGAAAAGACCTCTTAAGATCATGAAGTCCAACTATTACCCAGAACTGCTGAGTTCACCACTAAACTGTATCACCAAGGGCCTCTTCTACAGAGTTTCTTAACACTTTCAGGACAGTGATCCTACCACTTCCATGGGCAGCCTGCTCAAATACCTGATTACCCTCTCAGTGAAGAAATTTTTCCTAATACACAATCTAAACCTCCCCTGGTGCAGCTTGAGGCTATTTTCTCTCGTCCTGTCACTTGTTACTTGGGAGAAAAGTAATTCCGCTTCACTACAACCTCCCTTCAGGTAGCTGTAGAGAACCTTCTCTTCTCCAGACCTAGTTCCCTCAGCTGTTCCTCATCAGACCTGTGCTCTGGACATGGATCACTCCATTAGTAAAGATTAGAAAGACAACATGACTGTAAATAACCAATAGCTATCTTTTTTTTTCCTTACAGAGACAGCAAGACAGTTTATTGGAAAATCCCAAAGCTATTTTAGATACAGATACCAAGATAACATATGTATGTCTCATTACTAATATAAGGTTGTGTTTCTCTGGTACCCAATCTACATTCAGCTGGGACAACTCTTTGAAACGTCTCAACATAAATTGGGTGCGAATTTTTCTCTGATAGCCCCATCATTTCTTTTAGGTCTTGAAGATAAAATGTGGCTGTGTAGCAGCTGTATCATATGCCCCAAGTTTTAAAGAAGAGAACTTTATTCATGATTCTGTCAAATATTTTCCTTCTACTGTAATGGAACCCAGACAGTTTTAGGGTCAATGCTAAAGCCTCAATTTACACGACATGTGCTGCTTCAACTCACATACTTCAGGGTCAGTTTCTAAGTCTCCCTGCACCATCCTTTTGTGGAAGTCATCTCCTACACGTGCATGTATAGCTCCAGAGTGGACCACAGCTGAATGCACTGAGAAGATGGTAATTCTTTTGCTACACTTCAAACAAAGAGCATAATTTATTGGGGGGAATAGAAAAATCACTTAATCTGACTGATAAAAGGCAAGAGATTTCATAGATGTCTCTACACTGCTGGCCAGAAGACAGCAAAGGTCTTTTTCTAAAGCAGCAGGAATGCCATGGGCCACAGTAATCTTTCAGTGACAGCTATTCAAGCCAGGAATGCCCACCATGTAGGTGGGAGAGGCTCTCCGGAATGGAAGACTCTTAGGAACAAAGTGACCTAAAACACTGACAACCACTCTCTGCATAGCTCACAGAAGATCAAATACTATAACCCATGTGAGGAAATCAGCCAAGACAAGATAACAAATGTATAAGATAACAAAAATACATTACCCAGAATGAAGTTATACTGTGCTAGCTGAGCATTTCTGATCTTCTTATTCAGTGTGCACCCAGGATCTACATCAACGTCTGCCATTAATCCAGCATCATGGAAGTGCTGCCTGACCTAGAAGAAAAAGTATTTAAGCTGTCACTATAGGATATTCATGAGAATGAACAATTTATGACTTGTAGACTTAAGCCAGCTAAGCTTATCTGACCCCTAAAACAAAGGCACTGTCATTAGCTCAGATGCTGGAGATGAGCTCAATTCAAGTAATGAAAACAGGTCAGCTATCATGCAAATACATACACACTAAATACCTAAGCAGTTACGTGAATATCTAATGTTTGGGCTGAACAGCAATTGGAGTTTGATACTGTAAAAGGTAGCATGATGGTGGATTAGCTTTCTGATTAGAACAGATTTTTAAAAACGTATCTTGCAGACTATTTATATATTGTGTGCTTGAAAAAAAATGCAGGTCTGCTGGATCTTCATTTTTCTTACTGCTCTGCAAGATGTGGGAAACCAGAATATGAAGGGTAGGACAGCTTTTGAGCTAGAGGAGAAAAGAGTAAGTTTTCCAAAAATAAAAACCTTACAAGGATCAGCACTATCTATCTCAGGTCCACTTTACGATAGATCTACAACTTCAGGAGCTGTCATTGTAAGATAAGAATGACACTATGCAATATGCAAAGACTTGTAACATTTATCTGAGATTAATACTCTAAATAACCAAATATCACAACTAAATACAATATACTGAAAAAAAAAAAAAAAAGAAAAAGCCCCCAAACACATACTCACCTTTTGAGCATATTCATCACATGCTGGTCCCACTGGTACCACCATGACCTGCTGCGGGGACAGCCAGAGTGGCCTTCAATAAACAAACGAAACAAGTTTATAAAGCTTTCAGTATTTTTTCAAGACTGAAAAATCCTATTAACAGATAAGACTAAGATCGGTTTAAGAGACTCATAAAGCCATCTACTTAGATTGAGTTCAGAGGTGATGACAGCCTTATACTCGTTACAATTTATTTCCCTCAGAAAATGAGTGTCTAAGAACTGCAGTATAGACAATTACTTTGTGACCTGAAGATTCAAGTTGTCTTTACGACAGGCAACAAATGATAATTGAGTTGTTGAGCTTATTACTAACTAATCATGGGAAAACATTTACTTTTAAATCTTGTTACAGTCAGAGGGATCATCCCCATCCGGTATTACAGTACATAAGGTGAACAAGATCATCTACATAAATGACTCTTCGCAAGGCACCCCAGCTGCAAAAGCAAAGTTGAGATACACACCTTGGGCAGATAAGATGCATGCGGCACTTGCACAGGTGGTAGCGTGTAGAGGCTACCGTACCTAGACTTACTTAATATCTAAGGAGAGTGGTTCAGAAGGATTGCCCTGAGGTGTACCTACAGCATATCTCTATAGCAAGCAAGTACAACAGCCTGTCTCAATTCTTGCATGCCTGAGGCTAATTTATCTTCTACATAAAACATTTGCTCAAACTGGAATAATCTACTTTTCAACATTACCATTTGCCTCCATAGTTTTCAGTTAGAATGGCAATCATTCTCTCCACAGATCCCAAGATAGCCCGATGAATGATAACTGGTCTTGTCTTGTCATTGCCATCATGGCTGTGAAAAGAGATGGGGGTTTTTAAATATTAGGTTTTTTTCTGGATGTAAACTTATGCCTGTAAGTGACAGGAAAGTTGGATTACATAGCTATTAAAACCACCAACCTCTGTGCTTACCTGACAAAGGTGAGGTTAAATCTGACTGGCAGCTGGAAGTCAAGTTGGATTGTAGCACACTGGTGGTAGCGGCCAATGGCATCTTTAATCTGAATGTCAATCTTAAAACCAAAAAGATAGAAACTTTTACTACAGTTTAAGATGCAAGCATGCTCCTCTGAAAGCAAACTCATTATTTTAAGTTGGAATGTTTGACTCAGTGCAGAGGAACTGTATGGGGTTTTAGACAATATAGTTTTACTTCAGCACACATTAGGATTTAAATGATTTGCAGGTTCTGATGCAAATCATGTTAGAGCTAAAACCAGGGTGAACATGTAGAGAGACATTAACTCAGAATACTTTTTGTGAGTTTCAGTCTGGGCCTTTAACAGGCCTTTTCACTGACAGAATTCATACATACAAGTGCAAGATTAGAACTGAACATGTATCTCCAAAAACATGACCTCTTTAAACTCAAACTGGCAAACTTACACTCCTGTTTCGTGCAGTATTTGAACACTCTGTAGCTAATGTTACACATTCAGGGCATGAACATGGGAGATCACATACCAGGGGAGTTCATCTTGGTGACTGACACTTGTTCTGTACTATGATTATCTACAGTCAAGCCTATTCTTTCATGTCTTACACTTTAATCCAGAATAGTTATGCTACAAGTTAGACAAACAGATGGATAGAAAACAGTAGATTTAGCATGTCCTGACCTTATTAATTTAGAACACTGCTCCGTTATTCATCACTTTACCAGTATCGCTGTATGCTGGAGTTGTGTGCCTTATTTTAATTTATATATCAAACAAACAGGCCAGCGTTCTACTAACTGAAGTTCTAAAAGTCTTCCAATTTTGCATTCAGAAAGCAGAGCTTATCGTAGTTCAGCTAGTCACCAAAAATACTAAATTGCAACTTTCTTTAATTTCAAACCACTCAGTTACAGAGTAGAAAAAAGTCCAATCCATGTAGTTCAAGTTTCTCTAGATGTGGAGCTTAACTGAAAAATGGAGCTCTAACTACTTCCCATTAAAATAAGTGCAAAATACGAGACGTTTGCTCGCTTTACTTTGGCTAGGATGTACTAGGAACAAGTATAAAGTTAATTAAGGTTAAAAAAGGTTCCTGATATTTGCTGCCTTTCAAATCAAGTGAGGGAATTACTGAATGTAAAATGCAAACAAGATTATGAGCGATTAGCTGCTATAATACATTTCACCTACAACTCACAAAATGAAATTGATCCAATTACCATAAAAAGAGAGAAATCAGAACCAGTTGATTAGATGACTGAATGTAGACATAGTGTAGGTTTATGAGGGAAAGATTTACAATAATTTTGCAAGGCTGTGTGTGCCTATGCTCAAAGGTATCAGGGAATTTCTAGAAAGCCCTAGTTAACTGAGGAGACAAGCTTTAAAAACCCCAACAAAACCAAAAAACCAATACAAGAGGCTTTAAAAAAAACCAAAACTCACCAGCAATTCAATACAGCTACAAAACCATGCCAGTAAAAAGCAGTATTTTTCAAAATAACTGTTTAACCAGAAAGTTTTTGTTTTTCTCATGACTTGCAATTCATTTACAACCCAATGGATTATTTCTCATGCAGCAACTGCTATACTAACACAGCTCCTACAGTGCCACCTTCTGTTCATGTCTCCCACTAAACTTATCAGCTCTGTTTAAGCAGCATACAAATGGTTTATGCGTGTAAACTGGGTTTAAGTGAATGTTAAGGCTAAGTGAAAGCAAGGCTCAGAGAGGATTATTTCTTTCAGGTTTGTCAGAGTTTATGTACCTGGAAAACCACAAAACATCAGTCAGGCAGCATCTTAAAATGGTATTAGGTAACTACAAGAAAAAAAAATAATAAAATCCCTTCTTATAAATCCCAGCTCTTTGACTCATCCAAACAGAACGAAAAGTATAACCCAGCTAAGGGTTAGTAACACACCAACCTTAGGTCCATAGAAAGCGCCATCACCAGGGTTTAACTCCCACTTCTCACCAAAGTCATTGAGGCTGTTTTCGAGTTGCTAGAGATAAAGAACACATACACTCAGTGTTTCTCAATCATTTACTGTCTTTCCATGTTACAGCATCACATCAACCTGCTACCACAGATATATGATGCTACCAAATTTTCAGTACTTCTCAGTTACTGCTGCAACTCATTTACTTTCTGAAAAATAAAAGTTTTGGAAGAACCCTGGCATTAAAAAAAGTCCAAATTTAACAAACAAATAAACAAAAAATAATTAATCCATTGGTTTAGGAAGAGGCCAAACAAGCAGTGTCAGCGAAGAGAAAAGAAAGTTTTAAGATAGATTCAAAGTTTGTAGATAATATTGACAGGGGATCAATCCCAATACACTCAGTATCTATTCCTGCTATATCTTCTTCCTAGTACTGCACCTGCAGGGGTTAACCCCATCTCTTCCATCATGAAAGCAACTGTACTTTTGGAAAATGGCTCTATTACAGAGACTGCCAGAATTGGCTCTCCTCCTCCTTTGTTTTTTTATTATAAGAATATACAAGGAAAGAGAAAAAGAGAGAGAGCAGTAATTTGATTTTGACATTGAAGATTGCTTTTGTATGAAGGGTAAGCTATTTACAACAGCCAGACTGAACTGAAGACTGTTATTAAAGTAATATTGCTGATGCCCAGCTGTCGCTATAGTTCCTAGAAGCCAATATGTTCTTACAGGACTTTAAGCTGCAGCCTTTCTTTCATATAAAAAGTTGGTAAAACTACTGTTACCTTTTCAGCTTGATTCCACACTTCAATATCTCCCAGGTACTTTTCAGGACGAGTAGAAAGATTCAGCTTAAAGGAAAATCCAAAGACATCATACACAGTTCGCAAGAACTCCAGACAACTCTTAATCTCCTCTTCAATCTTTATGAAAACAGAAACAGAAGTCTCAAATATGGAAAAATCAGTTATTCTGTTTTTAATACCTGACTTAATTTAACAGCAGCCCATACCTGCTCGATAGCACAGAATATGTGAGCATCATCCTGCTGGAACCGGCGTACTCGAGTGAGTCCTGTGAGAGCTCCAGACAGTTCATTGCGATGCAGAACACCAAAATCAGCCAACCGTAGCGGCAACTCACGCCATGATCTTGGGCGATGATCAAACATAAGGCTGAAGGAAAAGTTTATTAGTTGAAGCTTATCAGAATCAATTTCTGCAAAGAACAGACAGTGAGAAGCAGCCAGTACCTAAGCAGACACCCATAATGCCAATGATGTAATCCGAATACAGCCATCACTCACATCTCCTTTTGTCAGGGAAACAAATGCAGATAATCCTTTTATAACCAATATGCTTCCCTCACCAAACAGAGAGAAGATAAAACAGTTCCTAAAACTGAGCATTAAAACTTGAATGCCTAAATTGCCACAAAATTGGCAATGACCTAGTATCTATTTTGGATATTCAGGTTTTGTAGTACCACTGTAAGCTTCAGCTCAAAACCACAGCCACTGTAATGATGGAAAAAATGGTATTTTTCAGTGTCTCAAAGAGAGCATGTAGTCAACAGGACTCATAATTACATCACTCCTGACAGCACGTCACACCTGGATACCGGAAGACCTCTTTACAATTAAGCAAGCAAAAGAAACAGGATTTGTGTGTTTAAATCAGCATCATCTTTGGTAAACTGGATTTGCCATGTACTTACCAGTGTCCTGGACAGTTCATAGGCTTCAGAGCAAAGATTTCTTTCTCGACTTCAAAGGAAAACATGTTGTCACTGTAATGCTGCCAGTGCCCTGAAGTCATCCACAGTTTGCTGTTGAAAACATTTGGAGTAACAACCTCCTGGAATCCACGTTTACGATACTCACTCTGAAACAAAAGACCCAGTATACAAAATAACTGAAAGGACAGAATTACTAAAGTAATGCTACTCAGCCTTCAATCTGCAGCCATAAAAATACACAAATGCTGCCCTAAAAAAGTCCCTGACTTGAGGAAAGAAGAGGCAGAGGAGAGTAAAACTCAAGTTGGACATGCCAGGATACATCCCTTCCACCAGCACCACCCTTCCCCCAAACAATTCCTCTGTAGTAGGCAAGAAGAACAAGTTTCTTCCCTGCAAGCAAAGCAGCAGTCTGTAATTACTCAGTGATACTTGACAGTACCTTGCAGTGGTTATGTACAGTAATAGGACAGATTTTAAATAGTACAAGATCAGGATTTTTTTTTATCCCTACACATAATTTCATAATAAACAGTTCTAGAGAGTGAAATTTAGTAAGCTTGTTAAAACAAATCGATATGCATGAGTGGGACAACTGCAGTGTAAGCTTATTGCTACTACTAGATGTTAAAGAATTCATACTATGAAGTATCATTATCATAGCTTTAACTGCAGGTGTAAAGCATTGATAAAAACACAACTTTGTGGAGATTGTGACAATACCAATTCAAAGAAACCAGGTTTCTTTAGTTCCACAGCTTACAGAATAAAAGATCCAGCTAACCTGAAATGCAGGGCTGTTCCTACTGCTACACGTAGCATGCTGTTACGTGTTTTTCTAAAACTAAGCAATTTCTTCTATAAGTAGCTTTCCAAAAGACCTTACCCGGATGAATTCAATTAACGTGTTATAAATGTAAGCTCCTTTTGGCAAGAAAAAACAGCTACCAGGGCTGAGCTCATGGAAGAAAAACAGTTCTTGGTCCTGCAGGAAAACAGATTTGAGAAACTTAGTATTTGTATAGCATCTTTTCATTTAACGTTCACAAATGAATTAGTACTGACTTGGCATCATTATTCCATTCAAAGTTTGGGTTTGCTTAGGTTTTTTTGTTTAAAAAAAAAAAGCAATACCAATAGATGAGATGCATTTTCACTAGTATTTATATCCCCATCAATACTTACAGAGGAAGGAGATTGTTCAGTTTCCAATTTCATTAATGATGAGCCTAAACTTTGCATTTATGTGTAATTCCTAACTGTGTCTTCAGAGCTCCCTTTGTACTTCAGCAAGTTGATACTTAGTTCTGCTTCTGCAGCTCTTTATAATTATTTGCACATGAGCTTAATGTGCCACCTGTAGTTGGCTGTTGTGACAAATTATGCACATTCTTGTGGCCTGCACATATAGTGAATTTTTCTGTGTATTTCCCTGGTGTACTAGCAGGAGACCTTGTAACAATGTTCAGGACTATCTATTAGCTGACAGGCATTTCCATCTAAAAAACAAACCCAAAACCAAACCAACCAAAACCTCATAGAAATGTATTATAAATCCTGAAATCACACAGAAAAGAACTGCAAGTGAACAGGCTGCAGCAAAGAGTGTAGGAATAAGCACTGCCTGCAAACTGGAGAGCTCTTGTTTTGCAGACTGAAGCGTCCATGTTCTGTTCAGACTGACATGTGGAATAAAGATGTCAATGGGTTTAAAGCAGCAAAAGGTTTAAAGAGAAGTTATCTGCTTTAAGATTTTTTATAATCTTCTAAGAGAAAATTACCCAAATTTGCAACTCAGCTAAAAATACAGTTGTGTCACATCTTGATTGTGGTAGCACATCTAAACTGTATTCAAGACACTTCTTGTTAAGGGGCTTCAACCACACAGTGTTTGTGAAATACATTAGCAGAAAAACTCTCACCCGCCCAATTTTTCTGTGATCTCTGCTTTTAGCCTCCTCCTGGAATTTCTCCCACTCCTTCAGCATTTTTGCATCTGGGAATGAAATGCCATAGATCCGCTGGAGGGATTCCATATCTGCCTTGCCTTCCCAATAGGTAGAAGAATTCTACAAGCAAAAAAATAAACGAAACCTTGAAGAAAAAGAGGAGCCTCCACATTTTACTACTACTGCATGCAATTATTAATAAATCAGTATACTTAATGTAGACCAACTAAAGCATAAGGAGAGTTTTAATCTTACTTTCATAGCACTGATCAAAAAATTCCAAAGTGAGCAGATGGTTTCAGGCTGGTTTTTTTAAACCTATTTGCTCTCTGTTAGCCACTCTATTACAACGATTTATCCAGATTCAGCTATAACCATCAGCTGAGCAAAAACCATAAATGCGAACTGATACAGTTCAGCCAAGCCTGAAGCCACACTCACATTTCTATCTGTACTGGCGTGTAGGCCCTGAACACCTACTTGGGCCTCACACCACCTGAATATCATTCTAGAATGCAACCCCTTCCCAGTTTGTTGCGGTGAGATTTTGGCCAGGCTACCCATTTCACAGTACATTCATGGGTAAGACACCATCCTGTGGCTCAAAGACAGCAATGTATTTTCAGTAAACACATTTGTCTAAGCAGTTTTCAGCACTTACCTTATGAATTTTTATGGTCTTTATCTTCCCAGTATGTCTAACATGAGGCCCTCGGCACAAATCTATCAAGGGACCACACCTAAGAGTAGGAAAACATTCATTTGGTATATTTCACCCCAGAAAGATATATCCAGTAATATTATGATGCATGTGTAATTACCTGTATACTGTTGTAGTTGGAGTAGTGACCTTCTCATTCAGGATACGACACTTGAATTTATTATACTGAGAAGAAAAGCAGCATACACATTTATTATCTCCTTGTTAAGCAAAAGGATGGCCAGCAGTTTAAATTACTTGCAAACCTGATGCTGTGCTGCACCAGAAGAGAATTATAAAAGACAGACAGAAGGACGGTCAAGTAGTGGAGCAAGCTGTCCAGACAGCAGGCTGTACAGTCTCCATCCACATACGTTCTGAAGACCCAACGGGACAAGCCTTTAGGAAAACGGTCTGATTTTAGTGCTGGCCCCATGCCCTCTGCTTAAGATTAGACTGGAGACCTACAAAGGTACATTTCAACCTAAATGCCCTCTACTCTCAAGAGACCCCACTTGAAGTACTGCATGCAGTTCTGGTGTCCTCAACACAAGGACATGGACCTCCTGGAGCAAGTCCAGAGGAGGGGCACAAGCATGGTAAGGGGGCTGGAGCACCTCACGTATGAAGACCGGCTGAGAGAGTTGGGGCTGCTCAGCCTGGAGAAGAGAAGGCAGCATGGAGACCTTATAGCAGTCTTCCACTGTTTGAAGGGGGCCTACAAAAACGCTGGAGAGAAACTCTTCACCAGGGACTGTAGTGATAAGACAAGGGGTAATGGGTTCAAACTTAAACAGGGGAAGTTCAGGTTGGATATAAGGAAGAAATTCTTTACTGTGAGCATGGCGAGGTACTGGAATGGGTTGCCCAAATAAGTGGTAAACGTGCCATCCCCGACAGTGCTCAAGGCCAGGCTGGACAGAGCCCTGGGCAACATGGTTGAGGGTAAGGCATCCCTGCCCATGGCAGGGGGTTGGAACTAAATGATCTTAGGATCCTTTCCAACCCAAACCATTCTATGATTCTATGATTCCCCTGATCTCCTAACAGTGAAAACTGAGTAACACCTATTTTAGGAATGCCAGGTAATTATTTACAGCTAGGTGCTAAAGAGGAAGGATCAGTTTTTAGTGTTCCCTGGACCTCTCAGAAATCCTCATTCTAAAAATATTCTGGGAAGCCTTCTGAATGCATCAGCACATGCAATAGTATCACCACAGCACTTTACTAACAGCCAATAACATAACTGCATGTAATATATTCCTAATCTACACCTGTGGGAAATAAAGAACATGGCTTCAGAGATTTTGCCAAGGTCACACAGGGGAAGAATGAGAATTCTGCAGAAAACCTCCTGCACATTCCTGGGTTTTTTTTGTTTTGTTTTGTTAAATACCACAAATCAGCTTATAAAAACATACCACCTTAAAAAAATTTAACCTTCCTCTATCACTAAGAGAAATGCAGCTAACGTTACAAATACTTAAATAAAGTGCATGATGCTAGAAACAACCTTCTGAAACAGCTTACCTTGAACATTTCAAGCAGTGTTTCCTTCTTAACTTCCAGTCTTTCAAAAGCTTGTTTTTCCTTCATTATCTTTTTGCATAAGGTTTCCAAAGCAGAGAAGTCATTACTTGATACACCCCTAAAATAAATACACAACAGTGAATCGTTCTCACTTTCACTTGCAATTTCTGATCCAGTTGCAATGAACCAGCTTGTGGATGGAACGCACTACAAGGAAGAAAGCAACATTCAGTAGTGCAGACAACTTTGTTCTGGGAACAGGAAGGTAACAGAAATACCGCTGTGATCGTCACTGCCCTCCTCCTAATAAAGAAACACACAAAACCTACCCTTCCTCAAGGTACATGTCATAGTAAAATCCATTTTCTATTGGTGGGCCATAGCACAAACAGCCACCATAGATTCGCTCCATAGCTTCGCCCATTATATGAGCACTTGAGTGCCAGTATACCTAATGGAAGCAAAAAAAGGGGATCAGTCAAACACACACAGTACATTTCTGCGTATTTCATTTAAAACCTTTTCTGAAACCCAAAATCTGCACCAAGTACCCTGCTTTCCAGGAAAAGTCAGGAAAATAATTCAGAAACCTTTTATTTTTCCTATGAACTTCAATCAGTCAGCTCCGCATAAAGACCAAAAGGTGCACTTTTAACATAAGGCTGCGGTCCTAATCTAAAGATTTTGTGCACAGGAAATGCTGCACTGAAGTACATTTCAGTTAAAAATTATACTCCGTCATATAGTTCACCTGAAGTTTTGACAAATTAACACTGTATCTATAGGACTTAATGTCTGCTTTTATTGGCACAGTCCAGAAAAAAAAAAAATCTCACAGGAGCCATCATTTTGCCAATATGAAAACCCTAAGTCTGAATGCAAGACCTCTGTTATGGTGTGACTGACAGCTTCTTGTACCAAATGATTTTTTCTGAAAACAGTATTCACAAATTTACTGGATATTCACATTTATCTGAATAAGTAGCTAAAATGAAGTATGAACTTCTGCATGTACAAACTAAAAAGAGCAGCCTACTCAGTGCTTTTATGACTGTACATACATTTGCACTCAGTATTGTGTTCAAAGTCAGTGCTGAAGAGATCAGTTCAAAATACCTACATAAACATGAAAGTTCAAATACAAAGTTTTAACAAGAGCAGACTTGACATAAACTACAGCAACTGCTAGCAAATGTGGCTATAAATACACATCAGAATGTGTATAATCTGCACTACTGCAATTCCTTTGTAAGGAACCAATAGAAAATGCAGATGTACACAGCAAACCTGTTCCCTCATCGTTATCTTCTGAACACGGTGAAGATGTAAATAACTGCTCTAGGCTAAGCTTAATGCAAATCCAAGGGCAATCAAATTTGGTAGAAGATACTCACTGCTTGAGCCTCTTCATCTTCAAACTTAAGCAGCTCCAGGGTACAATCCTGCTCCAAAGGACGGTCTAGATCCCAAACCATCTTGTTCACTTTAGCAATAACAGTGTTGTCAGCTAAACTCTGACTACAAAATAAATACACAGTATATTGTATTTTGAAATTGGCAAGTAGAAGTTTCCCAAATTCACCACCCATGCTGAGTAAGGTTTTCAGGAGTACTCAGAGTAGATACAGTGTCAGAAACAAAATTCAAATAACAGAGTAGTTTGCCTTTAACAGTCATGAAAATCCTACTTGTACCTCAGAGATGGGGGAAGAAAACTGCTGTATACTCGACATCAGACATTCATTAACATATCTGACTTAGAGACAGCCATGTCAAAGTACTAACCTGACTTCAAAACCCTACAGCAATAAAAGAGCTTCTCTTTCAAAGATTATCAAATACCATTTCTGATGTTGTAACTTTATAGTTTTATTTCCAATAAACAAAAAACCCCTTCCTTGATCCCAAAACACAAAAGCAAGAAAGGTTCCAATGACAAGGCACCTAACCATGAAAAGAAAAAAAAAAAAAAGCCTTTCATCTCTAGGAGCCACACAGTTTTTGTAATTTTAACTGTCAGGGTGTCCAACTTCTATTGTTCAAATCTTGTCCACAGCAGCCTGAGTAACATGGAGATGTAATGGGTAACCCCCATTCAAGAAAAGATGAAATTAAGTGAAAAACGCTCCTACTGTTAACTCCCTCTGAAATCAACAGAAACATCACACAGCAGTCACCTTCCCTAGCTTGATGCAAACTCATTTGCATGTGCTAGTATACTTAGTTAAAAATTAGTTCTTCACAGTGAGGGTGGTGAGGCACTGAACAGGCTGCCCACAGAAGTGGTAAATGCTCCATCCCTGGCAGTGTTTAAGGCCAAGTTGGACCACACCTGGGCAACATGGTCCAGTGTGAGGTGTCCCTGCCTATGGCAGGGGTTTGAAAATGGATGATCTTAAGGTCCTTTCCAAACCATTCTATAATTCTACAACAGTACTTATGGGAGAAAATATGCAAGTAATTTGTGTCTAAAAATCCCAATTACATTCTTAAATAATTGTAGAAACTGTATCTTCAGAAGGCAAAAAAAAAATACACCCCAAAACTAAAAGCCCACTGGTTACCTCCTGCATATTATATACAAGATACCTTGAGAGGCCTTGAGATAAATTACTGAAGTTATATATTACATATACCCTCTCAGCTACAACATGCAGACACAGAGCTGTCTGAAAATGATTGAGCATGTCACAGAATAGAATCATACCTAATTCCACAAGCGATCTGATAAGGAGTAGTCTTCCAAGATTCAGCATCAACTTGCTTGCCATCAGGTAATGTAACTTTAATGGGTTTACTGTCATTTGCAGCTCTTTCTGCAAGAAGCGCATCATGTTCAGCTTTAAGTTTATTGTACATCTCTAAACGCTCATTGATAAATGCAGGCCAGGGAGTCAGCTGTATATAATGAATAAAGACAAAGGGAAAAAAAATCAACAGATTATTAGAGTAATCTAGTATCACATTATGTCAAGAATGAAAACAGAATGGATGCACTTTTCACAAGCAGCTGTCACCTTATCTATACATGTGCTATATCTAACAGTCATTATTATTAAAGATTAATGATATAGTAATAATATATCAGTAAGACTTCAGCTTAACAAAAATTACTTCTTTGAACTGTACCACTGTACACCTGTTAAATGAAGCACACATCTATTACTAGGCTACACAGTAGATTAAACACCTCTTTAATAAGATACACAAGAACAAATATCAATTTGAAAAGCATGCAGAAGTTCAACATAAAAACAGATTTTTTGTATTAGGTAAAAAAACTGAGGGAACCCCTCTACTCTGAGCCATTTGGACAGAAACTGACACCAGTTCACATAACACAGAATTACGTCATGTCTATCAGCCTGCGTACAACCAAGGCTGTACAGCTGGCTCCGGATTAGTGCTGGCGAGCAGCTGTCCCTCTCTCTGCAGTCAAGAGAGATCTGTATTTACCCACCATCAAGATGGAAAAGACTACAGCACCTTACGCTGGGCTTCCTCATTCCAGATACCCACTACTTAAAACAGCTTACCACTCAGTGCAAACAGGGGCACAGTGAAAAGCAACTATGGAAATCTCAGCTGCTCTCCCATTGCACCAATACCACTTGGTGTAGGTAAGCAACAAAGTCAGCTCCTGGCAAACTTTGCGAAAAGGAGCTACTGTAGCACCAGATAAAAATACCTGACAGGGATGAACTGCAGTAATGCCAGCAGTGTGTAAGACAGCAACTGGGAGACTGCATCTTTCAAGCCCTCCACCCCCCGTGGCTGAAAGGCAGCTCACCTCCGTTCGCCCTCCATCGCCGGCCCCCTCATTCATCTTCTTTCCGCCCTCTGCCTTCTTTTCTCCCCCAGCATTTACCTGAAGAGGGCGAGCACGATTTCCTCATTCTCCAGCAGCTGCTCATACCAGGGCGCTTTAGCCCCCCTCCTTAGCCCCACACACCAAGGGAAAGACCCGGCCTCTTCACCCCGCGGAACCGCAGCGCACCTCCCTGCTCTTTGCGTCCAAGTAAACCCCACTGCCTTTCTACCCTGCTCCGCCGCAGCTGGGGAAAGCCCCGGCTACGAGAGCAAGGGAGGAGAGGCCTAGCTCCCTGCTACTGCCAGCACGCGTCCCCCGGACAAGGCTGCCCTCCCCTCCAGGCCTGACGCGGGAAAAAGGGGACGCCCCGCCTCAGGGTAACCCGCGGTGAGCAGAGTGAGGGGCAGCCGGTGCCCCAGCGCGGCCCGCCACAGTACTGGGCCCACCTGGCTGTCAGCACCTGCCATGATTGCAAGCGGAACCTCCCCGGGAAGTAGGGAATGGGCGGACCCGGGGCCGCGCAGGCGCCTCTCGACTGCCGCAGCTGATGCAATTGGGGGCGGCCGCACGATCGGACCAGGCCCTGCTCCAGCTGTGCCGAGCCCAGCCCAGCCCAGCCCCTGCGGCTGGGCCAATAGGGCCGGAGGGCTGGGCCGTGCCGTGCCGCGCCGCGCCGCCAGGGGTGGGTGTCCGAAGACGCGGAGCGGAGGCAGCGCAGGCCTCTAGTGGGCGCCTGAGCAGCTCAAGGTGGCGGAGTGCCTGGTCGCACCCCTGAGGGCGAGAGGCGGGGCCCGTGTCCTCACAGGGCTGCTCCCCTCGCTCCTGAGGGGGGAGCGGAACCAGCCTTTCACCGACAGCAGGGCTGTAGGGGCCCAAAAGGGTGGCAAGGGGCACAGGGGCGGAGTGGCGGTAAGGGATTCCGCACTGGTATTCCCCTGAGGCAGAGGTTCAGTCAAGGATGGATCAACTAATAAGACAAAGCTAGAAGAAAAATCGGATTGACCAACGGCTGATTTCCCACGGTGGGTGGGGGGGAAGTGGAAGAGGTTCTGAGGGAATTCTGTCAGGCCTGGACTGCAGGAGTGTGGCTGCTTTGCTTAGAGCTGTCCTGTTGAGGGAAGATTCAGCATCTCTAAGAAAAGGATGTGATGTTCAGGCATGGCTTTTTGGTTTGTAACTCTCTTCCCTTTCACCCCCTGCTGTTGTGTAGTTTTTATATAATAATAAATAATTTTCATATAGAAAAGTTACTTTCAGTACATTTTTATGGTGCTATGGACTCCCAAAGCAGTCAGTCCCAAGGCCTGTGGTGTGTTAATTTAGGAAAGGTGTTTATGACAAGATTCCATGTTCTGAAGCAATCACAGTATAGCTTCCTTACTTGGAAGGGGCTCTTACTGGGAGAGTCTCTACCTGGTTTGGGCCTCTGCTGTATGCAGAGCAACCCACACCAGTTCTGCCTCTGCTAATAGGTGCTTCCTCTTCATCTGCAGCAATGATCTGGGATTTGACAGTTCCAGTGAGCTAAAAAGTGCTCAGGTGGACATCAGAGTGCCTCAGACTTCATTGGATTTAGTGCTGCAAGAAAAAAGTTCAGGAAAAACTAGGCAGATTAGTATACATTTCAAATACTAGCTGTGTAGCTGCAAAGGACCATTGAGAGGACATCACTGCATTATCTAATCACAAATTAAGCTTAAAAATAATGCAAATATTTTTATATTTTTAAATTAATGCAAATACATGTTTAAATGGTAACATATTTTATTAATATAGTAATAAATGTATTCCTATGCATATATACATTAAAATGGGAATGTGTAGTACCTACAAACTTAAAGACAGTATCAGGCCTAAACCTGCATAATTTATTTGCTGTCTAAATGTAAAATATGACAGCATAAATATTGGCAAAAATATTTCTTGAACAGCAGCATTTAATAATATATGTAAGTTACAGCATGGTAATACAGTGTTTAGTGATATAAAGCATAATTTTTATATCTATATATGTTTTTAAGTAATGATTTTTATATTTGAAATGCCTTTTGAAATCTTTTTGAATGCAAGAATTACAACTAAAAGCACAACTAAAAGCTTATAGTTAATCTAAGCCAAAATGAATGGAAACTTGATGAAAAGATGATTGTCCCTTACGCCAGGCGATGGCAGCAGCGAACCACGCTGTGCTGGTGAGAAACATTCTGGAGGATACTCGCAGCTTTAGGTAACGGGATTTATGGAATAAAATACGAAACTAATGGACTGTTTTAGTAGCTTCGCTCTGAAGGAGCGTTATTAAAGATGTGTGACTGAACTCAACTGGACGCTAAGCCAGTGTAAATTGGTTTCATTGTGCTTTATGATTATCGCCAAGTGAATGAATGAGTGTTTCTGCTTCCTTTGGAGTTTGTTGAATAAAATGTGGTTGTAAAGTTTGATGGGAATTTCACTTAGGAAAATTAAAAATGCAAACGAAATGAAAATTAAAATAAAAATTTAGAAAGTTAATCAAAAGAATATCTATATGTATATAGAAGTAATCAGGATTATTAAAAGGAGAAGAGAGTCAAAAAGTGAAAAACAAAAGGTAAATGAACATACAAGGAACTAAAGAAGGGGAAAAAAGAGGATATTTTAAGAAGAAGTTTTCTTAAGGGGAATATTTAAGAAAAATATTTCACAACCTGTAACACATTTACAGTAAGTGAAGTACTACCAGCTCCCATTACAAAATCATGCAAATATGGAAACCTCAGCTTTGAGAATTGAAGTTTTTGTGCAGTTTTTTTCTGTTTTAATTTCACTTAGACTGATACAGCAAAGCAATAGGCTTCTTACAAGTTCAGTACAGCAAACTTAGAAAGGTACATTCAGAAATTTAACCACTCATTAAGTGAAATAAAAAAATAAAGTTGACATTAAATTAAAATACCTGTGAAAATAACTGAAGTCCTGATTCAAAACGGAGTGTGCCAGGAAAACTGGATCTGAGCCTTGGCCTTTGATACTGTTGCAACTTTTGTGGCCTTATTATTGAAAGAAAATAGTTCTCTTTTTAGGAGGGTAAGAAAAATAACTGATACTTCATGCAAAGAAGGAGACCAGTTTAATTTGTTTCTATTTACCTGGAGGGTTCATGTATAGCCACTACAGTATGTGGTCTAGTAGTCTTTGCGGTGCTAACAGGTTTTCTATACCTACCAGTCATTATTCTGCTTCTTAGAGAAGAGATACGTAGTTATGCTTGATAGGGAGAAAATCCTTACTAACAGCAGAAATCCCACTGGCGTTTTGTAAACTGGAAGCACACTACAGAGTGATTGCCTTGTCTCACCTGTGTCCCAGGTTGCAGGTCCTTGTCAACTGCCTGTCTTCCCATCATCTCATACCTGCAGCTGTGGAGACAATATTTAGGCTGAGTTTGTTCTCTACTACCTGGCAGGGTTTTTTTTTAGTAGAATACAGTAAGGTTATATTTGGTCAAATGTAGGAGGCATAAAACAAACCCGCTCTTTGCTTTTCATTTAAAGTCAGTTTTGGATACTAGTCTCAGGAGAAGCTGTGCTGTCTGCAGTTGTGTGGATCTGTGACTGCCACTCTGCTCTCCGCTCTCAGTCTTGTGACTGGGCTGTGAGATGGGGATTCAGAGCCTCTGTTTTCCATTTCTTATTCTTTGGTTAAAACAGCAAGGCAGCAGATACTTAAAAAGAGAAATAAAATGCAAGCAAGTTCATGAACTGAGGAAGAGGGGTGATAAACTGGGAAAAAAAAAAAAAGTTAAAATCACATGTCCTTAACTATCCTTAATCACAACTTAAACTGTTACAATGAACTAAAGTTTAAAACCATGTTGCTACAACATTTTTGCCAAACTTCTGGTTCTTGGACACACCCGTGGGTTTTGTACCTAAATATAAACTAGCTTTTACTATAACTGAGCATCATCAAGCTATTCTACTACACAAAACTTTTTTGCCCATACAAGGAATTTTCCAGAATACAAAATACTTCTTTGGTAACCTTTTTTCCCTAACCAAAAAGAAATAAATATTACTATGATTCATTTTGGTGAATTTCAGAATTTAAAGTCTGAGAGTGTGGTTTATTTGAGATATTTTTGTAATAGTAAAATTCCAATTTCGGAAGAACTTTTTTTCTCTATGGATATCACTGATATTTTTTCCTCTGAGAATAATCTTTTCTGTGAATGTAACACCAGATATATTTACATAATATTGATACAATGGAAAGTTGAATTTCATAATCTATGAAATTAAAACCCCCAAAGAATTAACCTAATCAGGCATCATTCCTGATACTCTTAGCAGAAAAAGCAGTGATTGCACGTTATGGAGACCAGCCTGTTCCTCCATCTTCTCTGTGAGCAGAATCCTCTGTGCCATGGTGTGATGTGGCACATGGAGGAATTTCCTTCATAATGCAATTAGAAGCAAGAAATGCATTTCTGAGTCATTCCTTTCATACAGTCCACAACCATCAATTTTCCATATTCAGTTTCTTACTCCATCATACCCTATAGATGTATTTCCAAATGATTTCCAAATACCAAAGGACAAAACGTTCTCACATTAGCTTCCCTTGCAAGGTTTTTTATGGGGAAATGGCAGAAAACACAGGGAAAGCAGATGTTGTGTCCTAGGGGTTTGTTTCCTTTGACCATATTTTTCATTGCAGCTATGACTTAATTTCACACATTTCCTGTTAAATTCATTTTATTTGAAAAGTACATTCTCAGTTTCTCATTTTAGCCATGACTCAAGTGTTCTGGTGATTTTCTCATTAACATCCTTTTTTAATGATGTTTCATGGACACAATCCAGTCACATTGCTTCAAATAAAGGAACACGTGAAAGCTGACGAAAAGAGGGACATCTCAACTGTGAATTTTGCCAGACCTCTTGTGACAAGTTATGCAAAGGGTGTTTTTTTTCTTTGTGACCTTTTCACTTGGAAGTATTTGGAATCTTACTAAAAATAATACTAAACTGGTAAATCATGTCAGTTCATGTCATTACAAAATCATCAATTTCTAACCTCAAGTACAGAGGACAGAAAACTCTCCTTAATTAGCAGTAGCTGCCAGAAGATGGGTTCCTGAGGGACTCCATTGTTAGATGCTGATCAGAGGAAAAACGCCTTCTGAGGGGAGTTAGAAAGTTTCATTTACTTAGTTTACCTGGAAGAATGGGATGAGACATCTTGGCAATAGCATGGAACGGAAAAAACAACTGAGCACTATCTTTAAAACATCTGCTCCATATGGAAGGACCACAACAACTCTTTTCAGTCTTCTCTTTTCTAGACTAAGCAAACTTAACTTTTGAACCTGTCTCAGGGGGACACACTTCCAGACTCTGGATCTTTCCTTGTGAACTACCCAGTTCGTCTGTGTTCGTTTCAAAACAATAGTGCTGAAAGCAAACACAGTCCTCCTGCAGAGCACAGAGGAATTTTGCTC